GTCTTTCTCTTATCTGGAACGAAGCCCCCTCTTTCACTGCAGTTCTGTGGGTGCTGTTGCCCTATGGAGCTTCTCTCCTCTGTTTCCCCCCCTCCTCCCACCTCAACCTCCCCCCCCGCAGGGATTCCCTTCGCTGCTATGAGGAGCTCAGTGCTGTCTGCTCGGAAGAGGATAACTACAGCCAAAGTCGGCGGCTACTGTTCCAGGTGGGTGCAACCCCTGAAGCCCACTTCTCCTCCTCCATCCACCGCGCTCTTTGTGTGTTGCGTTTTGCGTCTGCACCTGTATGCGGATGTTTCCCCACTATGCCCTGGGCAAGGGGGAGGCCCGAGAGTCAGCCCAAATGGGCTTCGTGGCTTCCTCTCACCCAGCATAGACAACCCCGCTTCCCAACCCCAGCGTCTCTAGCCAGGAATGTTGTGATTCCACGGGATTATGCAGAAATATGCTTTTAATTTTGCTTTTGTTGAGGGATTTTGGGGAATTGGCAACCCCACTGTGATTTTCTGGGGAGAATAAAGCCAGTCTGGGTGGCTTTGGGCCACCTGCACAGTCCCAGGGCACCCCCCCAAAAAAGAAGGGTGTGGGAAACCACTTTTGAGGACCCTCTTACCTGGAAAACTTTGAAAAAGTTTGACCTAAGTCAGAATTGACTTGACGACACATTATTATAACATAACATAATAGCTGGCTGCTTCTCCTACTGGAGGAGATAGCACCGTGACATGATGATTTTTTTGAAAACAATCCAAGTTGGCATTTCTGTTGCTGCATCTTGTGGCAAGGAGTTCCACAGGCTAAGTTCTGCACATAGCACGAAAGAAGGGCTTCCTTTTCTCTGCCCTGTGTTCTCTGCCTGCTTGGTGGCTTAGTCCATGTCTCCCTTGGGCTTAGGGAGGAAAGAAAACGGGTCTGGGAGGAAGCGCCAGAAAAGCTATGCTGAGGACAAAACCGCAGTCCCTCATATCACCTGGTGTTGGAGGCTGAGTTTTGTGTCTGAGCCAGTTGGCTGTTGTTTATATACGGTGTGTGTGTGTGTGTGTGTGTGTGTGTGTGTGTGTATAAACAAACACGTTGAGTCAGCCTATATATAAAATCGTCCTTTAGAACTGTAATGGCCTCCTTCCACCTCACAAAGGAAGGTCTCGTGGAGAAGAGTCATTGTGTTCCTGTGCTGGAGAATCCTGGAGGAAGCTGTGTCTACGTGCTTGGTATTGAAGAGGAACTCTGGCTAATTGGATGGAACGTATGGTATATGACTACTGAACTTATTTACTGGACATTGAATCTGATATATGCACTAAACTCTGTGGAAACCTTTGTGCATTACTTTGGAACTGAGAACAAAGACTTAGCTGTAAATATATGTGTATATCTTGTAAATCAGTGGTTCTTAACCTTTGTTACTCGGATGTTTTTGAACTGCAACTCCCAGAAACCACAACCAGCACAGTTGGTGGTGAAGGCTTCTGGGAGTTGCAGTCCAAAACTCCTGAGTAACCCAAGGTTAAGAACCAGTGTTGTAAATAATACAATATCTGCTATCAACACTACTCTGGTGCTTGGCGTCTTCATCATCTCAGGGAGATCTTTTGGTTATTGCCCACTGGTGTATACCTGTACTACCGCTACTCTGTCACCTATCAAGTCAGCCAACAGTCAGGGGCACTGCTAGAATTCTCCTCCCCCCTTTAATTGCTGGCTGCCTCCCAGAAGACTCAGGCATGTTTACTCAAGAGTAGGTGCCAGGGTGACTTCCGGTCTATGCCACAGCGGTACTCCTTGAGTTTGGTACTCCGAACGAAGAGGGGGTCCTCACGCCTTGGGGCGCCCTAAAAAGGGTGTAGGGAACCCGAAGAGTTTCTGAAGAAGAGGTGAACCTGGGGTTTGAATCGTTCAGCTTCTTAACTCCCTGGCGTTGATGGAAGGGAGGGCTGACTCTCCTACTAAATTGTGGCTCCGGACAAAGAAAGCAGGATACAAACGACCCTTAATGGTGAGATTCTCTGTGAAACATCCTTTCTCCTTTGAAATTCTGGTCCTTCCTTCTACTCGACGACCCACACACCCCCTTTCAAAGTGGCTCTGCTCAAAGATAAAGGGGGAGGTGTGGAGAAAGAAGAAGTCGCATAACTGTATTTAAGAGAGAACAAATGAAGCGTTGAAGAGCTCTATTGTAGTGCTGAAATTGGGTGAGAATCCCTACAAAAATAA